AAATGCAGCTGTCATCCAAGTACTCTGAATTATTTCAACATAAAACCATGGTTATGTTTCACTCGGCTAAAAAATTAAGCTGTAACATTACGGAAGGGCTAAGTTTTGGTACACTTGTACAATTTCAGTTCAGTTTTGAAGTTATTTTTTTTTTCAATGCAATTCGTGCGCAGACTGCTTGCCAATTGAAACAGTTTTTTCATTCACGAAGCAACTGTTTGCGGATGCATTTAACTCTAGGGGTGTGTGTGTTTAAATAAGTGATTCCTCGTGATTATACGTTGATGCAAGGCGAAAAGAATTTTGAATTTGAAAATAGTTGACTTCCTTTGTTAACTAAAAAAGAAAACAGTGCTGCCCAATCATTTGGATAAAGTGCAAGTTCCTAATTGCTGTTGAAGGCAAAGCCTACGGATTTCTTTTTCTACCATTCAAAACCGAGCAAAACAGAATCTGTGTTGTTTTGATAGCATCCTACCAGTTAATGTTTACGGTTTATAAACAATTCGTCAAAATGTCTGTAAAACCTGAAGAAAACGCGACAATTTGTCGACGGCCAAAGGAGTCGACGGTGAGTTAGAATAACACATTGTTAGCGCCGTTTTTTACTGAAACAAAACCGCTTTGATCTTTGCCCGCGGAATAACACATTTCCTTCTCAATTTATCCGTAACATTTTCGCCTCGGTATAGGGACTTAAATTTTATAACGATTGAAAAATTTCTTATCCACAACGAGTATATCGTGGCAGATATTTCTAATACGAGACCTAAATGCAACTTTTTAAGTTGTGCTTTCCTTCACGTGTTACAGCAAAAACATGAAAGATGAAAACCGTTTCGTTGTGATCGAAGAATGATGTGTTAAGCGCGCACTACTGCTGTCTTAAACCAGTCAGAAGCCATAAATGGAATCGTATATTTTAAACTACATGCAAATATTCAGCCCTACAGGAGATACAAATTAAATAAACGTTTGGATATTCTGATCTCAGTTCATGTTGAAAACTTTTGCATTTTGATTAGGTGTCGCATCAAGAAGCAGATGTTCCAAAACTCTATTAATTAGTGACTTTCTTTGACCTCTGTTTAATTTACGCAAGAAAAAACTCATTTTTACAGCAGAATTTCGAGTCGCCTTGGATTGCAAAATCTATTCCCACAGAAAGCAAAAAAATGCGAATTAAAACGCGTACAAAATTTGAAACTCGTTCTCGTTGTGAATTTCAGCTTATGTCGCTGAATGATGATGTGTTACCAGATTACAAACTCGACGTGCCCCATAGGCCACCGCGGGTGATTCTTCATTACACCACGTTCAAAACAACCTGGGACTGGGTGATACTCTTCCTGACGCTTTACACCACGATCTCCGTGCCGTTCCTCGTCTGCTTCGAATTCGAGCATGACGCCGTCTCTGTCTTGGACCTGCTCGTTGATTTAATGTTCTTAGCCGATATTGCCTTGAATTTCCACACGACTTATGTTGGAAAAGATGGCGAAGTTATTGACGATCTTAAGATGATTCGTATGAATTACATTCGTTGTTGGTTTTTTCTGGACTTGGTTTCTTCGCTGCCATATGGGATACTCGCTTACGTAACGAATAGTAACGCGGTAAGTTTCACTTTGTACGATTAGCATCAAGTTTTTCCTCGCTATTGATACCTAATTTAGCTTACTTTCATAAATCATGAAAAATGTCATCATACTTTATCATACATTACTGCTTTCTTAGGTTGTCAATCATTGTCATGCTCAAACTTACTATTCAATTACGCATAATCAATCATCTTTCACACCTCGGGCATAATTTCTAAAAGAAATCATCATACGTTATCATACATTACCACAGTGTTACATTATCAGTCATTTTCATACATCATCGCGTTTGATCATACTCCCACATTACACAATTTTAATCATCTTTCACACCAGGGGTATTCTTGCAATTTCGAAAATGTCTTAGATTTGAGGATTTTCACGATACCTCACGTTATCATTTTTGCAATTCACATTCGTGTTATATGGTTCAAGGGCTTTACTTTTAATTTTTTTTTTTTATGTTTCACTTGTTTTAGTACAGTATAACTATACATCTTCTCGATAAAGCCATAAGATGGTATATTGACCAGGAAGCTTACATCTTTTAACTGCAATTGTAGTCATACGCTCTCAGGCTGGTATTGAAGTTATTTCTAGATCGAATCATGATGTTAATTGTTCTCAGTACGAGAACAGTTGAATAAGCAGGAAGAAGCTGTCAAATAATATAATTTATTTCGAGCTCAAAACATAACAAAAACCAAGATGGTCGCTACAGGAAAAAAAAAAAAAAGTACCGAAGCCCGCAGTTCTCGGCCGCAAAACCACAAAAGGGCGGTAAAACGAGTGGTATTTGAACAAATCTTTCTTAAACATGGATTATGTACAAAAAATACGTAAAAGGAAATGTCAGAGGTTATCGTTTTCGAGGAAGCTCCCTTAATAATTATATAAATATATAAAATGAGAACTGTAAGAACTAGCGAAAGTTTATGTCATTACTAACAATTTTTTCCTCCTTTGTAGAGCATGACAACTTTACTGGGATTCCTGAAAGTATTTCGCTTGTTAAGACTGGGGCGAGTAGCAAGGAAAATTGACAAATACCTGGAGTATGGTGCGTCTACGTTCTTTCTCCTGATGCTGTCATTCTGTCTCGTGGCACACTGGTTTGCCTGTCTTTTCTACTTAATCGCCACAAAATACGATAACTATGACAAGTACGGATGGCTGTATATCTTAGGGAACCAGATAGGGACTCCTTACAAAATGAGGAACGAAACGAATGAAGTAGATCCGGAGACGGGCCCCACCTATGCCGCCAAATATGTCTCTGCTCTGTATTATACGCTGACAAGCTTAACAACGATCGGGTTTGGAAACATATCGCCTAATACAACCGCTGAAAAGCTGTTTGCATCTATCACAATGTTGCTGGGAGGTGAGTGTAATCGTATGTTTGAGTGTCGAAAGTAACTCGCTTTGCTTTACCTCGCTTTGTGATTGGTCAAAGAAACCACGCGCCACACTGTCAACTAATCAGATGCGACTTGGGAACTTGCATTTTCCCGCGCCTTGGAAAGTTTCTATGCTCCAACTGAAATTTCCGCACTACATTTTTCTTTGTTTTGATTTAAGTTTGACAGATTAGTTTTCTTTTGGTCTTGTGACCCTGGATCGAAATGCGCCCTATACAACAATTGAAAGATTTACTCCGTCAATACAAATGGAAAGACCGGTGATAAGGCAGGAGAATAACCATTATCTATTCATATGGTTTGAAAGGTGGATAGATATAGAGTAATGACTCCATCTTTCCTCCTTTCCTGACTTCAAACCTATGCCACGTTATCTATACAACTGCGACACCTGGCTACATGTTACTCGCGTCTTTGATGGAAACTGTTTCCCGCGCTTTCCTGCCGCGCATTGTGTTCCATGTTTCCTTTTTTTAAATCTGATTTGGCTTTGTACTTTATGGCAAAAGGAAGCGAAAGGAGATGAGTTTCAGAATCACACCTAACACTAATATTTTGACTTACTTCACTTTAGCAATCTTGTTCTCGCTCATTTTCGGCCAAGTCTCTGCTATACTTCAACAAGCACAGAAAAACACAGCAAAATACCATTCGATAATCGACAACATGAAGCAGTTTAGTAAACTGTATAAGCTTCCAGCAAATCTCGCGACCAGGACGATTGACTTCTTCATGTCCACGTGGGCAATGAACAAAGGAATCGACACAGATGAGGTAATAATAATAATAATAATAATAATAATAATAATAATAACGAATATTTATACAGGATAGCCCTTCAGTGCAGGAGCACTGTTATCAATGGGGTCGTGTCTAAATAACATAATATAAGGATAAAAACTAGAATAAGATAAGAATGACTACGCACCTAACTAAATGCCCTATGCAAAAAATTAGATGGATTGTTTTGCCAAACCTATGCCGTACTGTGCAGTTATGGATTTAACAAAGACGGGTTCGGCTTAACCACGAAGATCTAAGAACGCCAAAGGATAACTCCTGCATATTTAAACTTCGTCCCGTTAAACATTGTACAAATATGGGGGGAGAGTGAAGGTAAAACGTAAACAGTCACAAACACTTCATTTGCTGTCTCCAAATTGGTTCAATTTAAAATTTTTCAACCAACCCCAAATGCCAATGGCAGGATTGCCTAATTATCTTCTTTTTTTTTTAAATATTGGCCATATGTAAAATTCATATTAGCTATCTGGGTTTTATTGGAAGGATTATGTTCCACTCCAGATCGGATGGGGCAAGGTATGGCTCCTGGGGGGTGGGGTGAGTCAATGAATGGCTTTCTATCCACCCCTTGTCACTTTGACACCGAGACCGGGTTGAGTACCGGAGATGCAAGTCACGTGTCTCATACGCAAGCTTTGAGCCTGATTAAAAAAACATGCATGAGCTCTGTGACATAAGAAAATTACATAAAAGCTAAAAGTGTCTACCCTTGTCAAACCTCAGGTCTTAAAGTATTGCCCTAAAGATCTCCAAGCAGACATCTGCGTTCATCTCAATCGAATGATCCTCGAGAACAATCCCGCGTTCCTGGAAGCAAGCACGGGAGTCAAACGAGCGATCGCCCGCAATTTTTGGATCTCGCACGTGGCACCTGGCGATCGAATCATTCATCATGGAGAAAGTTTGGATGTGATATACTTTATCGCGCGCGGATCTCTCGAGGTCAAACAGGGAGAAACTGTTGTCGGTTTGCTAGGTAGGGATGTAAAAATAATAGAAAGGAAAACTTTGTTACCTTCCGTTATCGAACATCCCCTATAAAGGAACCAGTGTTTCCAGAAACGAATTAAAAAGAAGTGCAATGACCAGAGGGAATACTTCTGATGTATTACTAAATTCTCATTTCGCACTCGAAAAGAAGTACCTTTAGCCTGTGAGAAGAGTTTAAAGTCCAGCAGAAAATTTCTGGTGCAAGGCAATCGAATTTAAAAGTTGACGGTTAGTTATTGCACAAAACCGACTCTTCGTCTTTTCAACGTCCTTCGGCTGTAAAAGGTTGGGTGCTACTCAAATATGATAATTTCACGTTTAGGCGAGAACTGATCAGTTTTCCTTTAGGGAGTGTTGTAACCTACTCAGAGTGTAACCACCATGTTGTATTTATATTCTTCCTCAAAGGTGAGAATGATGTGTTTGGGGACAACATCTGTCATGAGCCCACAGTAGGTCAGTCAGCTGTGGACGTGTTTGCATTAACGTACTGTGACCTTCACTGGATTCAGAGAGACGCACTCATCGAGGTGCTGGAGTTTTATCCAGATTTTGCCAACAAATTTACCAAGAACCTTGTGCTGTCGTACAACTTAAGAGATGAGGTAAGGGTATGAAGTATCTAACAGCATACCAGCGGCTTCCATAGAGGTAGTTTAATCCATTTATTGGCTAGTCGATCAATGGATCGATTGAAAAAATGAGTGAGGGATTGATTCATTAATTAATTGTTGAAGGACTTTATGATTGACGAAAGAACGGACGAATGACTGACTGACAGAGAGAACGACTGCAACCTCGTTGGAACGACTTAATGAATGAATAAATTAATGAATGATTAATTTATTCATTTATTCATTGTTTGACTCATTTCTAGCTTGCAGTGCAGGCGTCTTATTAGGGCGAGTTAACTTGACAAGCTTGCGATTGTTTAATTGACCAGCCATGTTTGATTCAAAGTTAAAATGGAGGGGGGAGGGGTGGGAAAGGTTTCATATGACATACCACTCCCCTCTCCTTCCTTTTGACTATCACTCACCCCCTCAGTATTTCTTTCTCTCCCCAGCCTTCCGCTGCTGTAAAAATCAAAGATGGTAGTAATGATTGTCTCCAAAATATACCAAGCACTCGCACCCTCTCTTCAGACTATGTAACTGACTGACCGCTGGCCTGGCTGACTGCATTACTGACAGACTAATTGAAAGATTTTACACCTAATGCAAATATGGCGTGCAATTTGAATTGCCATTGTTCTGGACTCACTAACATTGTCTTCACGTGGAAACACAAAAAGATTATCACACGTGTGAGAGGCTAGTGGGTCCAGAACAATTGCAATTCAAATCGGACGCCATATTTGCATTCGGTGTATTGATTGATTGACTGGTTGCTACTGGCCATATTGGTCGAATGTATTCCTTATGAATGAGGTATCATTCAAAAATCGTAGTTGTAGAAGGTAGCCATGCTGGTTTAGAGAACTTGCAAACTGAATCTTTTTTTTAAGAACCGTATAGCAAATAATAAACACAACCACGTAATTCTTCATCGAGGATTTGGAAACTAGAGCGCTCTTCGATGAAGTGTCGTGAAACCAAAACCAAAGTTACTTACTTACTTAAAATTACTTAAAAACATTAGATCTCACGGGACTCTGACGCGGTGAGGATCTATCCTTAATTATATTTCGTGTTTTTAATTATTACATTTTATATATTCAACTCGGTGACTACATTGTTAAATTCTTATATTTTAATATTAGCTAGTTCTTAATTCTTAATTTATATAAATTTATATACCTTTACAAGGCTTTATAATTTCCTATTCTCTTTTTATTTCGTGGCGTACCTGTAAACTAGCTTTTAGCTCAGCGTTCTGACCACGTTAAATAAATTGATGATTGATGATAATGATCACAAGGGCCAATCAGGAGAAAGGAAAATAACTCTAAGAGCCAATGAGCACTCAAAGTGAAAACAACCAAACTGTCTAAAACGCGGGAAAACGCGGACGACCAAATCGTGATTGGTTTTAGTTTTGCATCTGATTGGTTGAGAGAGTAGCACGAGTTTTCTGGGCCAATCACAGAGCGAAGTGAAAGAAAACCAAAGCAATCCCGGTTCACTTTCGACCACTTACGTGAAAATTGCTTTATGTAACTTGTTTTAATTTAAATTCCAGCTCAAGATTCGTAAACGCACCCCAAAGTTGGAAATAGCCAACGAGGAACAAAGGGATAGACCAACGAGTGTCACATTTCGACACAGGAAGCAGAATCGAAAGCTGAGTCTGGTCGAAGAATTGGCGCAGAACTACGAGTTTGACGATAGTCAGGTGGACGGTGGAAACACAAGTGAAACAGAGATCGACATGATGGTCCTCCCGAAGACACAAACAAGAAGTATGGCGTCGAACATTGTCCGAACGCGTCCCGAAATCCCGGAATCGGGCACCGACGTTTTGTCGAGTTTGTCCGAAATGAAAGGCGAGGTGAGACGAGAAATCGAAGTTATGAACATGAAAATGACTCAACTAGAAGAGCAAATCTCGACTATTATTAATATTTTGAAAAGCCAAGGACATTTGCATAGTCCACGGGGTTACGGATCCCCCAATACTAGTTTTGAGAAAGGAAGAATGTCTGCTACTTCATACCTTAATGATACTACCCCTCCAGAGGAGGCTCCAAGCAACCAGAAAGACAAAGAGGAACGTTTACCGGAATGGCTCGCCCCGTCCGGGTCCTCGGGGACTCGTGCTGATAGCGTGCCAGAGTGGGACGACTCTACTACTCAGGCACAGGAACAGAACTCGGCCCAGGCTGCCAGTTTATTGAACAACCAAACAAACAGAAACAATGCAGAACCCGATCCCAGACTCCTTCAGACGTTAGGCCTTTTTAAAATGGGCAAAAAATGAGGACCACGAAAAAGAAATCCATAGCAGTATTCACACGGCATTTAGATGTAAAGACCTGTAACAAATTCGTGTAGTATAAGATACCCGCGTAGAGCGATTCACGATATCGGTCGCGCCTTTCACGTTCGCGAACTTCATGAAAGAAAATGAAATAAGATCGCATCAGACTTGGAGGCAAGAAGGTCAGGATTCATTAGCACTTCGTAGAATCTAAAGACATTATTCTACAAACAAGACTATAGTTTTTCAAATCAGGCGGCAAGAATCTTTGGCATCGTGGAAGTAACTTCTGGGCTGGCTGAGAGGTTCAATAGCACTAGAGATGAATCATAGACAACTTTGAATCCATACAACCATCCATTCGAATAGTTTTAGTTTACGATACCGAAACAAATGGCGAAGAATAGATCAAACTTAGGCGATGGTTTCATTTCAAAAGCCACATGTGGCAGGACGTCAAATGGGGTTAAACAGTGCAGTATGTTAGAGAAGATTTAGGGGATGGATCATTTTATTAAGGAAACTACCTGGGCTGTTATTTTTTTTTTGTTTTATCTGTTTACCATATTTGAATTTTTTAGAGTTTCGTGTAATCACAAGTTCGGTTATAACTGGCTTTAAATTTGCTGTCAAACAGCAAGTGATGTTGATATTTAAAAACTTGTGATGATGTTGATAGTTACGATGTTAGGAAAGTTAGTTAAAAATCCGGAGTGCCTTCTTTAGTCATGGTCAAACTTTCTTAGCTTTGTTCATGATAAAACCACAGTGCCACGGCTGCCACGGTGTGAGTAAGGGCGGTGAAGAGTAAAAAAGTCGAGTAAAAAAGTCGAGTAGAAAGTTTGATGTTGTAGTAACAAAAAAATGTAACATATTGTTTACTATTTGTTTATTTATCAAATTAAAATAGCATTGTAATCGCTTGAAGTATCAAGATACAAACGCCAAGTTTGCTCGCCAAGGATAACTTATAGTTTTTGTCACCCACTTTTTTCCACAGATACTCCCCTACACGTTCCCATCGCAAGATACGCATTTCTACATAGACAATGTTTAATGAGTCAGCCGTTATTTACGGGAAAAAAGTCAGTAATAAAAGGAATCCTTTCAGAGTAACGATTGCTCGTTTTTGATATGTTAAATCTTTCCCTAAACACTCCCAATCGCGTGTCGTATGTAAGATTCTTAAAAATTAATAAAGGCTGATAGTTTCAAAAGAAACTGTTTGGGGCTGCGTCGGTGGGAGTAATGAAATAATTTGGATATATCAACAAAGTTGAAATGATAAATTGGCCACCGTAACGATTACAAAAGCTGACCTTTTGAGCGTTAGCCCTTCGTCGAAGGGCTAACGCTCCGACGAAGGGCTAACGCCCGAAACGTCAGCTTTTGTAATCGTTAAGGTGGCCAATTTATCATTTCAACTTTGTTGATATATCAAAATTATAAGATTATTAAAGGCAGAGATAAAATTTACACGGTTTCTGAAGCTAGTTTCTCCTCATAAAAAAAAAAATTACTTTGGCGCCTGTTTGGCTTTCTTCAGAAGCAGATGTGAGGTATATTGAGTCTCAATCTTTCTCTTGTTTTTCATTACTTTCAACAGTCCACGATAAAATAAATACCTCATCTTTGTAAGTAAGGAATTAACCCACTTCTCGAAGATCTTGTTCAAATGGACATGAGCGTTAACCTTGGCTGCTCACTTTCCAATTGGAGAGCACCCACTTTGGTAGTTACGTACAAACTCAGTGGCTCTGTTCAAGTTAAAACTGTCCATATCCTTCCTCCGATAACATNGTTAATAATAATTAACAATTATTCCACGAGCGCGCGTTGGATATGAGATGATAGATAGCCAACGAGGCGCGTAGCGCCGAGTTGGCTATAATCATCTCATATCCAACAAGCGAGAGTGGAATAATTGTTTTATTAAAAAAACGCCCCCAAGAATCTTCTCGACTTTATTTTGTGAGAAGAAACTGGATTTAACAATGTACAGAAATTAGATTATGATATATTGGCTCATATACCATAATGGCTGAGCCAATAAAAAGTCTTGAACTGCATTATCCAATGATCCAGTTTTTAATAAATATATATATACATCTACTGTTTCTAGATAAAAACATACGTAATTTTGTTTAAAATTAGATTTAGGCGACGTGGTGCTTCTAATGATATCAAAATCTAGGAGACGTTGTTTGAGAAAATCAATACGCGTTACAGAAAAAAAATTAAGTCAGTGTGCGAACTTTCTGTCTGCCCATCTGCTTTGGTGACACGTTTTTTGCAAAGAAAGCTTAATTTGAATGTTCGTACGCCCTGCGGGCCTATGTTTCGTATCAAAAACTGTCGGAGTAGGCTGGGCCTAGCGCACTCGCGCACTTTGCGGTGGCGGGCTTGAGATAATTTTGAATCGTTTGATCATTCGGACACTCATCGGAAATACGTAACGAGTTGTTTTAGTACGAGAGGGAAAGGCACTGAGAGGATTATCTGTGTGTTACGGAATGCAGCGATTTTAATGGGTTTATACTCGTGACATTAAGTTAATTTCTGGCTTCTATGTCGGTGCTCCGACATGATACAAGGATTGATCACGTCCACCAGCCGTCATACGAACAACAAAGCCTCGTTCGTCCAGTGTACACACACCATTGCCGACTTGAGGACATGAAATGAATCCAGATAGACTTGGCCGAATTCCACCGCCTACAAGGCGACTAGTAGTTCGAAAAGCGAACAGCCAGAGGGATTTACGTCCTATTACCGAACGGGTGAGTATTTTATGTTGTTTTTGTTCCGTTCATTCGAGGAAAAGTGGGCACGTACTGTGTACTTCCAATTTTAATTTGTATCCTTCTCGGCGACTTTACGGATTAATTAAAGCATACTGTCCGAGTTCTCCAGGATTATCCTAAGCTTCTTTTATTTGATTTTTCTTCTAGGCAACTCTAGGTAAGGTTCTGGGTTTGACAGTCTCCAGGAACGCAGCTTTAGCGTGCGACCCGTTGTCTGGAGTAGTCGCTTATCCGGCCGGGTGAGCCAAACTTGTTTTAAATCTAGACATTTCATGTCGTGAATTTTGCCAGCATACAAATTTATTTTGCCTCAAGGAATGGCGTGGGTTTATATAATGTGGTTAAGTTTATTTGATAGACAATATTTTATCCTCTTTGAGTTATCGAATAAAGAAATATTTCGCCAATAAAGTGGTAATAAGTTTGGGAGGTCACACGAAAGAAGATTGTACGTGACGACTTGTTGCTTTGAGATACACGATATGTAACTAACTTACTTAAGAATCCTTTTTAATTTACAGCTACGCAAAATTCCCTCACGAAGATAAATGGACGATGCCTATCAAAAATATTACTTGTCATAATAATATTAAGGTCATCACTAGCAAAATATTCTGGCGAAGTTCTATTGTTAAATTTTAATCACGACTCGGCAGTTTCTTCCGAGTCATAATTAGGGTTTTGATCTTGGTTGTTGCTAGTTCAGTGATCTTGTTGGGTAATAGCCTCTGGATAAATATAAAACGTGAAAAAAAGGCGACCCGAATGTTCGCCGATTGTTTTCATGCGAAATAAAATGCTGAAAAAGCTTTGCTCTGTCGGAAGCATTCATAATTCATAAATTCTATAACGCTGATCTCACACGTCTTTTTCGGAAAATCGGCGTCGATGCCGAGCTCAACGATTGCATTTAAAATGAAATATTCAAGCTGTATATTGGCCCTAATCGAAAGTGTTGATTGAAATTGCACGTAGTTTGTTGATACATATAACGGCCGCTGAAAATTATGCACATGTTAACTAGATTTGAAAGAGTACAAAAAAAATTATTTTTTGCGCGTTTATTGTATGTTATTGTAAATTGGGTCGTCGAATATTGCATGAGAAACGGGGCACTCTCTGTTAAGTACCTTAGGAAGAATAAAATTTAATCGCCTCTTTTAAGCTTCCTGTAGGGAGTTATTATGGTTTCTTAGCTATTCGCTATTTGTGTTGCATTCATTTGTTATATTTCTTTATTGTATGTGCTCGCACTTGAGGGCAACTATGTAATATTTTCGAGCGATTTCAGGAACAGTCTCGATTCGCCTAGTGTGTTCCACTTGTGCACCGCAATGTCAAATTTAATCTTTTCGATCGCAGCGTCTAGAGGGGCAGTTGCTATCGCCCACTTCACAGCTGTTGAGACATCACCATACTCATATCATTGTCGAGTCATACTGTATTTGCATTTTGTTTTGCTTCGGGAAGGTAATTAGAATTATTACTCGCTCGCGAAGAATTAGGAATATATTATGACAGAAACAAAGTAAAACGAGCTCTATCAATTGGTTGAATGATCTAGGTACGTTGATTTATTATCCTTAGGGGTTGATCATTCTTCAAAGTGATAATCGTCCCATGGAGTCTGGAATAAAATTACTTGTAAATTTGACAGTTCGTTTATTCAATATTTGCCTAATGGCAGCATGTTTTGTTTTGTATTTGACAGCATGACCTTGTCCTTGAAAATTCGAAAGTCAGCTTTCAAAATCAGCATGGTAACTTAAGAGTTTCCTTGAAATTAGAGAAGAAGTCTGAAGGCTTAGGTTAGACATGTGATTTGAACTTGCATTTTGCAAAACTAATCGATTTGAATCAGATATCATGGGTCAAAATACATATATTTGATATGCTTGACAGACAGGTTTAATAAATTTCGTAGACAGTTTGTTTCAAAGCTGATGCACATGCACAAAATTTGTGCAGTGTAGTTGGCACAAAGTCAGTCTCCTGTGATGTTACTAAAATTGTTTAATTCTCTGTTATATTAAGAAAGAGAAAGATGCTTAGTCTCATATTACCCTGGTTACAATATCTGTTTTGATTGTTTTGATTCAGAAAGGAAAGAAAAAAAACTTGACCACTTCTACTTAGAACCGCCTCCCGGTTAGCTCAATTGGTTAGAGCGCTGGACTGTTGTGTGGGAGGTCCAGGTTGATGGTTCGAGCCCAGCCGGACCAACACTCAAGGTCTTAAAATAACTGAGGAGAATGGGCTACCTTTCTGTAATATCAAGAAATGGATAGACATTCTAGTCTTCTCGGATAAGGACGAATAAACCGTAGGTCCCGTCTCATGCATCTAGTAATTAGTTAATTTGGTTAGGCAGTGGACGTTAAAGAACCTACTCACGAGATTACTGTGGTGTGGTCTGGCCTGTTTACTGGAAAATGGGGGGGAGGGGGCATCTTCAAATAAGTTTCCTTCAATTGTTTGTAAACTGCTGACACAGTCTGGCAAAAGTCCCCCAAAAAGTGTTGTGATGCGCATTTGATCATATCCACATGTTAATTTGTGCAATATAAATATTAAATTATTATTATTATTAATTCAGGAGGTCATTACAACTAACCATCCTCCTTTGATGTAGACATTATATTATAAACCAGTCTTATGAACTCTTTCTCATTCTCTCTGCTTCTCCATTGACCATACTGTGCATCCATCAAATATTTAGCACACATATGTATTTCAACTTCCATGCTTGTTTGAATGGTGTGACTACTTACAATTTAACACACAGAAACAGAAAGCATGATGCATAATTTTATAATTTTGGTTTTATAAACTGAGTTGATATTGTAAATTGGCCACTGTAAAGAGTTTCAAAGCTGATGTTTTGAGCGTTAACCCTTCATCAGAGCATTTCGCTTTGAATCTCTCTATGGTGGCTAATTTTACATTATCAACTCAGTTGATAAAACCAAAATTACCTTGTTATACTCCCCCACCAATGCAGCAGCACAGTTTCTTAAGAAACTTACCCTCCTTATTCATGATACATAATTTGTGCAGTAGAGAGATAAACAATGATGTTAAACAATAAAAAATTTAATAGTACATGCATAAGCAGAAAACATACTGTTGCCCAAGATACAGTGTTCCCCTTTTCAGGAGGTATGGCATAAATTTTACCACTTGTAGTACTTCTTATTACCACATAAAATCGCTTGAGTTCTTGAAAATTCATCAGATAAATGGATTGCTCTTACTACTGGTTTGAAGATTTCTGTTACCTTTTGTGCTTAAAGTAAGGAAGAACACCGAGGATAATACAGTTTCATCCACCATTTCCTGCTGTATATTTTCACTGAGTTTAAAGATGGCAATTCCTTTTATTTTTCTTTGATAGATGTGTGGTGGTTTTACTTAACCCCAGGAAGAACCAACAAAGTTTTGTGCTCAATACATCTAAGTAAGTAAAAGTCGTTCACACTAGGTATATGTAGCTGACCATGAATTTGCAAGGCTGTGGTCTAGCAGTGCCTGGTGGCCCCTGGTGCCTTACTTATACTCTTGGGCAACTCAGGAATTTTAGTTTTTTTAGGCAAAGCATATGCTGGGAACCCTGGATTTCACAGTTTTAGAGCACTGGGCTCCATTCAATTTTCCTTAGAGCACAGCCTTGATATGATTCTTAATTTATTGGAAGTCAACAAATTTTATTTAATAGAGTTTTTAGCTCCCATTTCCCATGGTTATGAACAGGTGGCAGTAGTTCCCTATGCCTAGTTTTGTCATCAGTTATGTGATTTATCAAAACCCTTAATAATGAACTTGCAAAGTTTTGTAATATAATACAACTTCTTGACAGTCTTGTGAAAATAAAAGCTAGATTATTTGCTCTTGCAGGAAGACAATCACTTCTGTAGCTTTCTCTGGAGATGGAAAATATTTGGCCACAGGAGAAGTAAGCTTTCAGTTTAATATCTCATTTGTATTTTCTGAGTGTTAACCTAAGTCCTATTGACGTCCAGTGCGCCCGTATGCACCCATGTGGACCCACACCCTTTCTACGCCTTGTGACATCATCACTTTTAACCCTGGAGCATGACTTTGAGCATGTACTTGAACAGGTGGAAAATATCTTACAAATGATACCAGAATGAGTGTAATTGAGTGAAGGAGATTGGAGAAATAGCCAAAAAACCATGTAACTTTGACCTGAAAATCTGCACAAAAATCTTGTTCCATTACCCACCGACCTTTCTGAGCATGTGGTTTGAAAATAATGAGTAGTTTCCTAAAGAATCTCTACACCAAAATGAAGTCTACTAAATTTCCAGCAAGTGAGGAGAAACTTCAGGCAAGGAGAGGGGGAAAAAAGGGCAGGAGAAAGAGAGAAAAGTAAAAGTCGTAAGTGGGGCATTACTTTTCAACCCAAAAACTATCTCGAAATTTTGCTTTCTGCGCACGCCCGAGATTTTCAGGCTGCCATTTTGCATTTGGATCAAAAGGCCGTAGAGTATACGAGCTGTCAATGGGTTTTCAGTAAGTTTGAGCTTTTAAAACTATAACAGTGACCCGAAATCTGCTCGACTAGCTTCAAAACACAGTTTTTCACAAAAGCTGTGGCCATTAATGGGTTAATTCTTTTTGACAGCCCTGCTAACCTTTTGATTCAATGATATAGTTCTTCTGTTCCTATATCACCATCATATGACC